CCCCGCGGGGGTGGTCGTTCTAAAAAGAGAAAATTCCCCCCCCCCCCCCCCCCGCATTCTGGATTTGGATCAGTCACAAATTTTCTTCAACCAATATCTTCAATTAAAAAAAAGAAGAAAAATTTTTTCATTTTCATCAGTGCGTTTCGTTAGGGCCAGCGAAGGGTTATTGTAGATGGCGATGGCTGTTGGCAGGGATTTAGTAATAATAATAAATAAATAAATAATAATAATAATAATAATAATAATAATAATAATAATAATAATAATAATAATAATAATGCTATATCCCTTTATTAATTATTTAGTTTATTAGTTCACAACATAAATATGCTAAAAAAAAAATTAAGAAGCGGACTTCCTTAGAGAATGAAAAATACTGTAAAGCGTGAATTAGCTTTGACTAAATGTTAGAGCAGAGGAGCAGTCATTAATTAACACCTGCGCGATAACGATAAAACAATACTAAAGTCAGTAAATAAAATCAGCGCCATGTTCGACATGGATACTTCTGTTGAGAAGTTTTCTGCTATTATGTGATTTTATTTTACTTTTTTTTTTAAGTATATTTTGCAAACCTGTAGCTTCGGGCTTTGGTCTGAAGGGAATCAGAACCTTTGTTCTGCTCGGGCTCACAGGCCGGACCGTGGACGGCACTGCTCACGTGCGTGCTGGCGCGCGCCTCCGCCGCAAACACAACAAACGCACAAGTTTAATGACGACTTCCTCTGATGTAGGGCGGCGGAAGTATCAGGGCAGGGAAAGTGGCGCGTGCTACGGCGGACACAGATGAATAATAATAATAACAGTAGTAATAGTAATGATTGACAGACAGACAGACAGACAGACCTTTTTCCTGTTAGGATATTATGTAAATCAGATTTGTTTCTCTGATTTAAATAATGTAAATTATAATTCCTAACTTCTGAGGATGTTTTTCTTGTTTTTTTTTTTGGACTATGACTTGTCACGTTTGGGTCCACGCGCTCTTCCCACGCTTCGCTCCCTCTTCCGGTCGGCAGATCGTTGAGACTTTGCGCACAGGCCCCTATA